TTAAGTCCAGCCCCCTTTACCCCCATGCCCCCTGCCAGCCTCATGGACATCTTTTTTAATTTTTTTTTTTTTTATGAATCTTTTAAATTATCTTTTAGGATTTATTATGTCTTCCCATTTTTTTCCTATTGGGTTGTTTATCTTAATGAGTTGTAATAATTCATTTTTAGTTTTAGTTTTTGCTGTAGGACTCGTGCACTTGTTGGGGAGAGGAAGAAAGTAAGCAGTTACAATCCCCACCTTTCACGGGTGTAGCCTTGTCCCAGTCCTTTCTCCATTCATCTCTTGGGATTTTGGGCATGTATATACATGCATGCCTGGGAGTTTAAAGCTGCTGGGTCCAGGATTTCAACTGTGGAGTCAGCCATGTGGGATCCAGCACCTTATCCTCCATGCCACCTCCTGACCCCATGTAATAGTTATTTATTAAACTGCATGTTAATTTAAAAAAGAAAAACTTTTTGTTGTTTAGAAGTCCTTCATCCCAATACACTGATTCCTTTTTTAATAATTTCTTTTTCACTTTAAATCTTTGGACCATCTGCAGTTAACTTTCATATAAGATGCTTTCATGTTTTTATAAAAATAGTTATTGTTTATAACTGGATTTTATTCAAAATGCTTAGTTATTAAAATTGTTTTAAAAAATGTAATTATTTATTCAGTCATTTTTAATTTGACCAGAGAAAGAGAGAGAGAAAGCAAGCCGCCAGGTCTGGGACTTGAACCGTGGTCAGCCATGTGGGAGTGTCCAGCACCTTAACCACCACGCCACCTGCAGGTCCCAGTCATTAAAATTTTAAATCTGAAAGAAAGTTATATTTTTCTTTAACAGATTAACTGTTCTCAAGGTGCCTGGATTAGGTGAAAGTTAAAAAAATAGTTTTACATTACTTTGCTTCCTAGACACCACAACATTGTAGTGTATTTTAAACATGCCTTCCTTTAAAAATACTTTTATTTATGGGGCCTAGCAGGTGGCATGGTAGTTGGAGGCACTGGGTTCCTGCATGGCCAACTGTAGTTCAAGTCCCTGACCTAGTGGCTTGCTTTCTCCCTTTCTCTTTCTCTGGTCAAATTAAAAAATAATAACAAGTGGAACTAAATAAATAGTTCTTATAAATGCTTTTATTTATGGAAGAATTTAACATATACAAAAATAGAAGAGTATTTATGAATCCTTATGTGCCCATTACCCTGCTTAAATAATTTATTTGTGGTTTATTGCTTCATTTTGTTTTATTTCTACCTTAATTCTTTGTATTATTTTGATGACAATACCAGTTATCACATAATAATTTATCCTGTAATATTTTAGTACAGTCATGCATCATTTAAAGATGAGATATGTTTTGAGAAATACTTTGTTAGGCAGTATTGTCATCATACAAACTTGGTAGCATGTCTTTACACAAACTTAGATGATATCAATAATACACACTTAGGTTATATGGTATAGTTCATTGCTCCCAGATTTCAAACCTGTCAGCACAGCCTGTATTGAATGCTATAGGCAGTTGTAACACTTTTTTTTTCATCCTGGACATAGAAAAAGTACTATAAAATATAGTATAAAAGATATAAAAAGTGGTATGTGTGTAGGGCACTTACAAATGCATGGAGCTGGCAGGAACAGAAGTCGCACTAGGTGTGTTAGCAAGTGAATAGTGCATGAGTATGAAGGCCTAGAACTTTCTTGTACACTACTGTAGACTTTATAAACAAAGCACACTTAGAATGCACTCAATTCTGGGGCTGGCAGTTGGTGTGGTGGTTAAGGATGCTGGACTCCCGCATGGCTGACTGCAGTTTGAGTTCCAGACCTGGTGGCTTGTTTTCTCGCTTTTCTTCTCTCTCTCTCTCTCTCTCTCTCTCTCTTTCTCTCTGTGGTGGAATTAAAATAAATAAAGTTAAATAAAATAATTTTTTTAAAAAAAGTCAACATTTAGAATGCACTCAGTTTATAAAATTGTTATTCTTCTGTGGCCAGCATTTAATGTGGTTAAGATGCTGGACTCCCACATGGCTGACCATGCTTTGAGTCCTGGACCTAGTGACTTGAAAAATCACACTGGATGTGTGCGTGCATGCATGTGTGCCCAAAATCCCAAGAAGACAATGGAGGAGAAGGGATTGTGGTGTGGCCATTACCCCTGGGGGATGGTTTCTCATTATCCCCCTTTCCATCTCTGCCTCTTTCTCTCCAGCAAGTGCATGCGCCTGATGGCAAAATAAAAAATCTTAAAAAATATATTTTTGTCTTTCTATAGTAAATTAACCTTGTGTATTGTAACTCTTTTACCTTATAAGCTTTTAAATATTTTAAAGTATT